TGTGTGTGTGTGTGTGTGTGTGTGTGTGTGTGTGTGTGTGTGTGTGTAACTGCATGCTTCTTCCTTTCACCAAATCTCCAAAGACTTGGATTTCAGTATTGCTTGATAAGTGTGATACTTTGTGGGGTTCACATGTCTTGCATGTTGAGGTTTGGGAGCTTAAAAGAAAGAGTGACATTTAATACAAAATGAATAATAATAATAGTTTCTTACGCTTATCTTTTTTTGTGCATGTATACCTTTCTCTTTCTTGAGCACGAGGGGTTACTTTCCTTCTATTTACAGGTAAATCGTTACTACGGCTACAACATGATTAAATATATTTGTTCGATCAACCTAACTAAATATATAACTAATATATATATTTTTAAACTATTATGCTTTCACAGTTAAAACACTCAAATATGATATATTGCTTTGTATTTTATTTAGTTTTTTTCACATTCTGTGGTGTTCTTGTGTCTCTATCTTACAGAAGAAGACCTACCAGTGTATTAAATGCCAAATGACGTTTGAGACGGAGAGGGAGATCCAGATTCATGTCGCTAATCACATGATCGGTGAGTGAGGCGCAGCTCTTCCACTCTGTTTGTGTTCGTGTGACTGAGAGTGTGTCGGTGTTGATGATGCACTTCGGCGACTGTGAATGTCTCGTCTCCTCGTGCTCTGTTTTTTGTTTTGTCTCGATTTGTCACCACAACTATTGCAATTCCTGCACACTTTTGCTATAAAGCTAGCCAGAATAAAACACACACACACAGGGTGTTAGACACACAGATGAAATGAAGAGCTCTTTTTGACTTGTGGGCTGCCTGGACCAGCTGTTGTGCAATTCACCATTTGGCTACATCTTGGAAATCTTGACATAGAAAACAGTCGACATTACAGATAAACCTTTATAGACCAAGTGTAAAACAAGACAAATATTACATAACTCCTGGCTATTCATGCCTTGATGTGAGGGTTTATAGCTTGGCCTGGATGAAGTCAAACACCACGTAGCATGTGATGCTCTGATGCTGCTGCAGATGCGGCAAATCAACACTGAGGAGAGTCCTAATGTACTGTTGCACTCCTGGAACAATGTAATGCATTATCAAAATGATAATGTATAGGTCAGCTTCATCATTGAAAAGCCATTATTGCCTGTTAAGGGCTGAGAAAAGGTTATATGAAACTGTTTATGAGTGCACGTATTATAAGTGGAGTGTGTGTTTAACGAAAAACTACCTCTGTAGTTTGGAGTCTATGTTCTTTTATGAGCGTCCCCTGTGACAGTTTTTTCAACTCGCTACTAATTTGCTGCCTTAGCATCTCTGTCGTCATGGAGATTAACGAGGTGGACCTGCGAGGTGTTCTGGGGAGCAAATGCTCTGCGCCCCCCCACCCTCTGCCCCTCTCGCCAGACCTGACAGGCACTCCCATAGTCACCGATGTACTCTGAGGTGTGTGTGTGTGTGTGTGTGCTGACATGGCTCGGAGTCGTCTGGAGACGTTGGAGGAGAGATTTGAAACAGAAGTACAGCTGGAGTAACTTTTACTTCCTTCCCCCCGTGAACCACACACACACACAGTCATAGATGCACAAACAGGGAAAAACTCTCTCACACATGAAAGAACACAAGTGTAGTTAATCTCTTACCTACTGTTCCTCTCTGCGCGTCTTCTTAGCTCTTCACTGCGTTCAGGGAACAACTCCGTTTCTTTGTCCTCGGGTCCCTCAAACCTTCTCCTCTCCTCGCTTCTAACCTTCTTTGATCTCCTTCCACATCTTCTGTTTCACCTCAATTTCCTCCACCCTGAGAATCCTGACAGTCATTCTGCCATTTCCCACACTACACACACACACACACGCATCCCTACACAGTGGTGACACTTTTGGGTTAATTAATGTGCTAATTGTGTGAAAACGTAGCACAGATTAATTATGAAATTGAGGCAGATTATTTTGAAGCACGTGCCCACCTTCTATCATTACATTTTCGACACCCCCACCCTGAGAAGAAGGGAGCATATAATAAAGAGAAAGACCTTATTTGGAATAAAAGCATTAGAGGTGAGACAATTACCAGATTCAGGAGAGAGTGTGTTCATTTCCCTGTCATCTTTAATTTTCTCTCTTTCACTGAACATCTTTCATTTTGTTGTTCTCTGCTCGCTCTAATCACATCACACAGTCACGAATAAAAGCTCAAACATCTGATTCCTCGGTTAAGCAGTATTCAATTTCCCATTCATTAAGCCAAATGTAATTGGTTTCAACTGGTCGTCAACATTTGAATGCAGTGTATCTGGCTCCTAACAGAGGCACAATACATGACGCTGTGCTATCTTTCTGTTCTTTCCTCCCTCCTTCTCCTTCACTTCTTTTCCTCTCCTTAATCCTCATATTGTTTATATGACAACCCCTCCAATCATCACCTTTGTGAAGGTGTTGCTGTCTGCCTACTGGTCTCATTCACATTCACTCACATTCAATAACTCTACCACTGGTAGGTGTGCTTGTGTCACTTCTGATTCTCTCACATGGTTCAGTGAAACACCCTAAGGCATTAGAGTATCTCTCAGCTTGCCTGCCTGTCTGCGCGTCACTGAAACACGTGCACGGAGAAGAAGAAAAATCTCAAATAACATTCGACGTGAGGAGGTCTGCCTCCCATCCACACGCTGACAATGACGCGTTTCCACTGGTTGAGGGAGTCTGCGGTCGGCTTATCGAGTCCAGGACTGTGATTGTCACATTGCTCCGTGGGTAATATGCGGAGCCCCCCACGGTCCTGTTAATTACGCTGTCAGGAAGGGAAAGAGAGACAACATTCAAGCAGATAGAGGGAACAGAGGGTCAAAGAGAGGAGTCTACAGAGGAATCCATGCAGCGCTGAGGAGGACCCATCACAAGTATCACTGCTCCACAGTTCTCACTACTTATTGCTTATCATGTATCAGCAGTATTTTTGTTGCTTATACTTGGAGCAGTTATTCTTTGTTTTACCCTTTTATGTTACTTTTCCATTTTGCTCCCAAATGATGTCTCCACATTCACTTGCATAAAAGCCCCGTGTTATATACGTGTGTGTGTGTGTGTATATATATATATATATATATATATAAGGCATTTTTTCAACCGGCCAGCTGTTTATTTTTTGAAATATCGCAAAAGACACAGGGGTATATTTTAAACAGGGGCGGCACCTTTTGAGAAACAAGTGAGAAATGTGAACGGTAGTTCTCTGGTGAAACAAATAATGGTAAAGGTCGGTGTCAAGTTTAATAATGCTGGTCACATTTTGATGCAAATAAGTGATCATTAAAGTTATTATGATTGAAGTGAATACTTGCTCAACACTTGTGCTTGTGGTTACTTAATGATGATGTGGCTTGAGCGAAGCAGAAGAGCTGCTATGGTGTGTGTATATGTATCTATAATATTGACTTATCTAGCTTTTAGCTTGTCACATTTATAAAACGTCAAACTCCTACAGCCCCAAATGTACCTGTAAATATCCTACACAATAACTAGTGTTGCCAGATTAACCCTTGAAATACCTAAAATGCACAAAATCAAAAGTTGAATATTGTGCATGGGAATTGTTCTTTGTTTTCTATGAGCAAACGCAGTAATGATGGTAACAAATACATCAGACAATGCTCCGGATATTTAATGGTGTCTACGCTTAGGTTATGGTCTTGAAATAAAAATCCAGAGTCCGTGTTGTAGGAGACCAAGACGAGACCGAGTAAAAATGCTGTCGAATGCGAGACAAAACCTTCCAAAGGTGGCCTCGAGACCCAGATTCGAGTACTACAACACTGACACACACACACACACACACACACTACACACATATACTCGCACACAGTTTAAGTCCATCTCCCACACACCGATGAGAGAAGGAGTGAAAGGAAATGGAGTTATCCATTTTTGCCTCGGGTAGCAGCTTGCCATTTGTGAATTTTTTGGGTGCTTTTGTGTGTGAGACAAAATGAAAAGTACAGTACACAGAGTACAGAGTAATATGTACACATTACAGTATGAATCACAACTTATGTATTTTATATAATATAGTTAGGATAGTTATGTAGTGATACGTAACATAGGTGTATGAATTTGTTTCGATGAGACAAAGAAGAACTCTGTCTATCCAGGTTTTTGTGTGTGTGTGTGTGTGTGTGTGTGTGTGTGTGTGTGTGTGTGTGTGGGTGGGTGGGTGGGTTGGGGGCATATCCCACCTGTGTGTGTGTGTGTGTGTGTAATCACAGAGCCGTGTGCGTTCGGTTTTTCTAGCCCCCAACGCTGCTGAGCAGGTGGGAAGGGAAGGGAGGGCTTGAGGAAGTGAAGATGAGAGGAGAATGTAGAAAGTATTTATTTGTGTTCTTGGCTGCACACACTGGGGGGGGGGGGGGGGGGGAGAGACTTCATGGGAGGGGAAGATGCGAGGGGGGTTAGCGGAGAGATGAGAGACGACAGAAAAAAAAGAGAAGGAGGCAGAGCCGAGGGTGGTGGAGGGCAGCGCAGAAAAAGAGGCATGACGGTAAACTTCTGGGTTTTTATCTCTGCGTGTAGAGCTGCTCAGTCAATCAGCTAATTCTGACCAAAAACAACAAAAGAACAGCGCCACTCTCATGTCTATCTGCACACCTGTACCATCCAAACTTACCCCGTTTGCTTTTAGATAACCCCGTACTGCTCCATCTCATCGTCACCAAGACTTTATAGAGATAATAAGGGAGGCAATGGCTCCCTATTCTGTAATGTGTGGTCTCGTTGTTAAGCACGCCCCCTCCTCTCATTGTATGAACTTGTGTATTTGTTTGCGTGCGTGTCTCCTTGGACCCAAACCGCAGTGTTTTTTTTGGCAGGCTTTATTGTTGTCTGCTGTGCAGCTGCACATCATGAAGAACTTCCCTCCTCGTGTGATAGTGTGAGGTGAAGACAGTCACGTCTGTGTGCAACTACACCTGCAAGTGGTGTGTGTGTGTGTGTGTGTGTGTGTGTGTGTGTGTGTGTGTGTGTGTTAATACTGTCCGTTGTTCAGTTTGGCCTGTATGGAATCAAAAAGCAGCTTCCACCCCAGAAAGTCCGACCTGTCCCGGTTGAGATGTCGAATTTCGATCTGGGTGCAGTGATGTAGCAAAGAAGCAGGTTGACTATGACATCCAGCTGGCAATTTTAAAGCAAACCACCAATATAAACACAAATCTGTTATAGCTTAAAATACACAAATGCAAGATGAGGAAGAAATCCTGGTTCTGTGTATGTGTCCTGTGCCAAATGACCAATGAGAATGTTCTCACTTTGCAAAGGTATCCTCCTTCTGAAAGCCTACAACTCAAAATGGAGTCTTTGTGAGGACCACACGCACACACACACGCACACCCCTAAATAAGGTCCTTGACAGCATGTTCTGAGTGTTGAACGCAGCCGCTAATGCTTTACTAATCACCTCAGTCTAGATTTCACAGCATGAGACCTCGCTTCTCAAACACATGTAACACACTCGCTCTCTTTTCCTCTCTCTCTCTCTCTCTCTCACACACACACACACACACACACACACACACACACACACACACACGCACGCACACACACACACTTAATATGTGTGTCTGCAGCAAACACGCATTCTGACTGTAACCCTTACTTTGATCTGACACAATGCACCATCCTCTCTCTCTCTCTCTGTCTCTTCATGCTAGCAGCTTTGGTCAAATTTCCTGCTCCAGCCATTACTCTTCACCCCTCTCTCACTTACTAATCTCCCCCTATTTCCTTTTGTTCGCCTCCTTTTTGTCCATCACCGCGACCTTCAGCTGTGGCAGCAATAAAAAGTCGGCTTCAAGCCTTAATTATATGTCTGCGTCAAGGTGTCACTGTGGTTATGCTGTAGCTGCTGAGCGTGTAGGCCGTATTCTATAGCTGTACATACTGCAGGCCACACCAGCACCACAGACATTGACAGTTATGTCACTCAATAAATGGGTTTCTCATTTCCATACTTTCACGATGTGAGGTGGTAATAAAGGTTGCAAAAAGAGGCTTGTAACCAGCTTTGCAAGCTAAGTTGTCTAAAGTTGAGGAGAAATGGCTAGTCTTCAAACCTGCTTCATGTTGTGTTCACTATCAAGGTATGAATCAACTTTTTGCCTCCCCCACACACACGCCACATTCACACTGCGTATTACTAACCCTGCCCATTCTCTCCTCCGCTCTCCCCCCACCTGCCTATTGGATGGCCCGTAGGAGAGCCCACCTGTCGGCCAGGTTTGTCCCCTTTCTGTCTCCTCTTAGCTCGCACTACGAGCAAGGCAGCATTGTGCTGTCTCACTGCCTGCCCATCAGCATTTCATTCTCCTGCTTTTTAATATCTCGATAAGTGCTCAGTATGTATTCACTTTGATTCTTTGGTGTTGAACACAAGATACTGCCAGATCCCATATTGTTAGCAGCCGTGTGCGGAAGCCACACTGCATGATGTGGAGAAACGTGGAAGCAGCTCAACTCAGGCTCAAAGTTGCTCGTAGCAGAAACCTATTTGCCTAATGAAAACAGGATAAACTGTTTTCCACTGAATCCCTTGGGGATGAATTTGAATTTGACACTTTGTAGCCAAATTTTTGCACAATTACCCCTCACTTCACCTCAACTCCTCATTCACCCCAATCCCTGCTGCTAGCTGCATGCTTCATTGTCCTCCCCACCTCATACACGCCACACAAACACTACACACACACACACACACACTCACAGATGCCTTGTAGGTATCGAGTGGCCACTCACCTGGATCTAAGTGCTCCCCGTGGAGTGTGGTGGCTAATGATGTGTCCTCAGCATGAGCTTTACTTACCTATTTACATCAGTGCACTCTAATAGTGTTACCTCGCCTTCCCTATATTCACATTCTTCACAGATTTGATGATCAGTTGGGGGGGGGGGGGGGGGGCATAACTTTTACACTGTGTTCTTGTTGGCCAGATACATGCGAGTGTGCAGGGTCGAGTTATCTTCACTTAAATCGTCACCACTCTCACGTTTCAATCTCACCTTTTGCAGGCGGAAAAACCGTGCGGAGCAAAAGCGCTGGATGAATTCAGCTCACTTTGAGATTGCTCCTCGAGTTTGCACTCATCCGCCGATTCAGAACAGTCGATCTGCATTCAGCCTGTCTGTTAGCCTGCAGTCAAATCTGTGATGCGCTTGACTAGTAATGCCGGTCTGCTGTCTAAGCAGCCGCCCCGAGGGCCTCTGTGTGTGTTTGTGCGCACACACAGAAAGATGTGTGCACACCCCCTGCCCCTCTCCCTTTCTTCCCCCCTTTTTGCTTTTACGCGCGCACGTACACACACAAGCACACACACACCTATCTGTATTCATGTGTATGTGGGAGTGAGCAGGGTCTGGTGTGGTTACTTTGTGTCACTGAAGACTTAATGAGGCGAATAAGAAGCTTTTAGAGTCAATGGAGGTGGATAATGTGGTTGAGGGTTCACTCGTGTGTGTGTGTGTGTGTGTGTGTGTGTGTGTGTGTGTGTGTGTGTGTCCGTGTCCTTGCCACCGGCTAGCAACGTTGTTGTTCTCTTCTGCCCGGCTGCACCAGAACTAATGAGCTACAGACTACTCCAGCGTCTGCGTCGTTGCGTCTGCGCCTGTGTCGGCACGAATGCTCTGGACTGAAGGAAGCGCGTCACTTATTCTTTTCCGCGGCTTCCCGGTCGTACTGGTAACTGATGTCACAGCGCAGCATTTCACAAATACGAGAGTGAACCGTAGAATTTCTGTACCCAAAAAATGTGGAAATAAGTGGACAACTTGTCAAAAAACAACCCTCTATGAATTATTGGTCGGAACACGGCTCACCCTGTCCTCGGCACACGTGTCCTTACTGAGAGGGTTTTCATCACCACAGGTGATGACATGTCCTCTCAGAGGAATGTGCTTAACTCTCAACACATTGATCAGTAGCACCCAATACTACTGCTGCCAGGATCTGTAATGTTACCATTACTGGTACTTCTGCTGACAATAGACTGCGGGGTGAACATTTGATGTATTTATATGCTAAATTAAGCTTGTGTGTTGCCAAAGCATCAAAGAAAATAGTGAGCACAGAAAAAGAGCACAATAGTAATTTTAACATAAAGTGGTGCTTTAAGAATAAGAACTATCAGCATTATTACATGAATGCTTTGCCAACCTATTTATTTGAGAAGGAGTCGTCTAGTTTGACCATTTTATGGAAGCAGTGTTGATATTTCCAGTGCTACTGTTATACTGCACATTATAGCACAACGTTCAGTAAAAAAAGTACATGTATTATTATTAGTAATTGTCTTGTCTAATTCAAAGAAATATTAATGTGAGTTAGAAAATCAAATTAAATCAAAAAGGTGTATTATTTATTTGAATGGCCAATTGCTGCATAAAATCCAGTCACTAAAAAGCAATTGATTATCACCGTGACTTATTTCTTTATAGCAGAGTCTGAACCTAAATACTGTTACTTAATGGAAACGTTCACATTTAATGTAGTATTTCGTTGGCATTGCAACTCTCTCTCCTGAGTCACGTGTTGTTCATGTTGTTCTCAGTTCAATGTAATGTTTAGATAATGGGAGTGAGGAAAAAAAAACAACAGTTTGACTGTGCAGAGTACCGAGCAGGATGTTGGACTGCACTGTGACGGTATGAGCATAGGGACAGATGACAGCACACACCCCCCCTCCTGTCTTCCATCCCTCCCTCCATCCATCCTTCTCTACATCCCTTCCTCCCTCCCTCCCTTGCCACCTGGAGCCAGCGAGCCGTGACACCAGAGGGAGGGAGGGAGCGATGATGAAGGGACCAGGGACTGGAAAGAGGGGGGGAGAGAGAGAGGCCCACAGAGGGCTAGATGAGGGAGAGAAGAAGGAAGGGAAGGATGAAAGATGAGATGGGGCATATGTAGGCAGATGTAAATAAAAGAAGGTACCGCAATCTGTGTCTGTCATTTTGATAATAGCTTTACTTTAATGGTATAAAAGTTATACATCAGATAAAAGTCTAAAGAATAAAGTAGTGAATTCAGGCAAAAAGTGACTATAAAACAGGTTTTAAATAAAAGATTATCTTCAAATATTTCACCTTAATTCATATGGGGAATTTGAATACATGTTTCTTTTTCCAGCCTCACATTTACATATTTACACACAATCTCCACTGGAGCCTCTCCAGTATAACCTCAGTCTTCTGCCCACAAGCCTGCTGGTGTTTTATTGACCGGTGTTTTATTCCGAGCAATTCGACATGTCACCGCATGTCATCAAAAGCAAAATGCAAAGCAAGTTTGAATCAACACGGGAAAACGAGTGCATGCATTTCTGACCCCCAAGCGAGGAGAACAAAAGGCCCGTGCTGTGATGATGCCGGAGATTCGCGTTGAATGCGGTCGTGATTCATCAGTTCTCGTAAAACCCTATCAACAGCATTTACTCACCACGTATAATTTTCACAGTTTCACTCCTCCTCCTCCTCTGTCATCCTGTTTGTTTCTCTAACCTCCTCTGACACTGTTAAAAGAAAGCGCTGGCTGTCTTTTAGTCCCCGTAACCTGCCATTGTCTGCTCTATCGACTGTGCATGAACACGCACACAGAGTTGTTAGTGTATTTCCGTTTGTGTGTTTTGAAGGCTCGGAGCATGGTGGTCCCCTGGAGAGCTCATTTTGTCGTCTTCTCGCTTGATTTACCTTCCTCTTCTTCTGCTGTTTATTACCAGTCATTACAAGCTGTTTGGAAACCTAATAGGACACACTGACAAATAGACTGGGAGAGACCCAACCAGGATACCAGGCATCAGAACACAAAGTAACTCTGTGTGTGTGTGTGTGTGTGTGTGTGTGTGTGTGTGTGTGTGTGTGTCGGAGAGGGAGAGTGTGCGCGTTTGCCTGAGAGAATATTTGTGCATGCAACATCAGCTATCTTAACTCATGTAGAGAAGTTCTCTGCTTTGTGTGAGTGATGTCTTTATTAGCCCTCTCCGTGTATGTATGTGTGTATTTGAGAGGATGGAGGGCTGTGTACCATACTGTACCTGAACCCCTCCTTTGCAATCCCCTCTCCTCTCTCTCTCTCTCTCTCTCACTCTCTCTCTCTCTCACTCTCTCTCTCTCTCTCTTCCTCTTTCTGTCTCAACCCGTCCAGGTGTGGCTGCACCAGCTGCTAAAGAGAACAGGACAATTACACACACACACTAACATACATACGGGCTTCCTCTCTATCTCTGCTG